GTTTTTTTCTTTATAAAAAGATATAAAATAAAAAAATTAAAAAATCCGAGTAACCGATATGATTGTATATGATTTTCTGAAATTAGAAAAAATTTTGTTGTAAATTTAAAAATTAAAAAAAAAATTTTGGGACGTACTTGGTGTGCGTCATTGTGTATTTCAATTTTTATATAGTCCTAGTAAATAGAATTCACGAATTTCATTAAAAGAAAAATATTTTGCAACCGCGCACACCAAGTACGTTCCAAAATTTTTTTTTTTAATTTTTAAATTTACAACAAAATTTTTTGTAATTTCGGAAAATCATAAACAATCATATCGGTTACTTGGATTTTTTAATTTTTTTATTTTATATCTTTTTGTAAAAAAAAAAACTAATTTTTTTTTTCTTAATAGTCTTATGAACGTGGACTTGGCGCGATTTTTTTACAGTGAAACTGTTTTTGTTCGGATTAAAAAAACATCCATCATTGATATTGCCCATGACACTGGTTTCCCCAGCTATTACCCAATTACAGATAATCAAACTCCTCATAAATACAATCTCCGACCCTCCGAATTTTCAGTTAGCTGCCGCCTGGCACCCGAAAACATTCTATTAGTTTTATCATCACGATGTACTTCAAAAGTTCAGTTTTTTTGTTAACATTTGCATTCTTGGCGACACAAATTGAATGGTAGCTATAAAATTTATTTAAAAAATAATTAATTATGTAACTAATAAATAAAAATTACAGTCAAGCCGACTATCACGTGGAACTAAGCTTGCGATACAATCCTATGCACAACAATTGGGATATTTATGATATCATACCGCAGCTAGATAATGGAGCTGAAATATCATGTTGGGAATCAAACGGAGAATTAGTGTTAGAAAATAACTCACCTTCTTCAGACGAATTATCAAAGCAAGGGACGTTTAAGAAAGTAGATCTGACTCCACTGAAAAATTTGCATCCCATGGAAGGCCTATGGTACAAATTCGGACGCTGTATTCCCGAAATTAACCAACTAAATTATCGTTCAAAATATTTAGAGGAGGCAATTAGGTTGTTCGAAAAATATAACGTGGAAGATATTTTAAGACAAAGCAACATTACTTCAGGAAAAAATTATACTTATCAAGAAATTTCTGAAGTTGTTTCCAAGGGAATAGACGGAAAAAAACCTATTGTCAAATGTTTGTTAGATGTAAGTCTATTTTTGGTAGTTACCAATTATTTTTAATATGGTTAATTTATGAATATATTTTTGTTTTTTATATGCAGAAAAATAACCATCTGTTATTGGACAGAATAACAATATTTTTTGACAAATCATTGAATTTAATTAATCCAACAAGGCGTCATTATCTTGGAAAGTGTCCAAATTATCTACTAATTGTCTATCAAAATTCAACAAACGACCCTAATTTTTACGACAAGGTCAAGCTTTACGACGATCCTTTGAATAAATATCCGACGATTCGGTAAGTAGAGTAATTTTTACTTTTTGATTAAAAAATTGGAAAATTAAAATTTTAAACAATCATTATTAACGCCTTAATAATTAAAGATAAAGCACCAGGGGGTAATAAAGTATAAATTGATATAGAAAAAATAACTTGATGCAACTTTTTTGCTTTTCAGGGAAGATGATAATGGCTATTACAGTCTAACTCAAGAAGTTAACCCAGCTGAGTGTTATCCTCCACTCGGTCTAGAAACATGTCGTGATCCTAAATATTCGTGGATGGTTCATTCACTTAGCTTCGCTTTCAAAAGTAACGTAAACTTTACATGTGAGCTGAGTGGAATTGACCCTTGTGATCCTGAAGGACAATTCAACTTAAAGTCTTTGTCTTCTATAAGATATGAAATACTCGAAAAGTACGGAGTCAGTAAAATTCCACAGAATTTGAGTGAAGAAGAAGTGCATTGTCGAAACTGGAGGAACCAAGATATATGTGAACTTCACTTAAAAGGAATTAACAGCGAGTTAAAGTATTACAGAAAAACGATCGAGTTGTTTGATAAATACAACATGGATAAAATATTACGGCGGTCTAATATTACTCCTGGGAAAAATTACACTTATCAAGAATTATACGATGCCGCTTCGAAGGGTATTAATGGCAAGCAACTGATATTTACATGCCGTCCATCATTAACTGTAAGTGACTTAATCGCGCAAGTTAATTAATCATAAAAGACGAAATTGTTAATTATTTATTTTTTAGAAGGAACCAGGCAAACAAATTTTGTTTGGAATTGCATTTTTTATGGATAAAAATTTCAAGCCTACTGATCCAACTGAAATTGAAATTCTTTCTGGAGGAAATTCTACCTGTAGTCATAATGGACTGATTTCTTATCAGGGATTTAAGGAATATGTGGAGGAATTATCGCAATATTTATCGATGAATGACGGATTTAACTGACTCTGATAAATAAATTAAGTCGAAATGTTTAATAATTAATTTTAATTGTTTCATTTAATTCAATATTAATTGTTCTTATCGGGAAGTAAATTTTATCAGAAAATTACAGTAATTGTAAGTTTGATTTAATTTTAAATATTTGTTAATTACTTACCATAATTGGATAGTCCATAAACATATCTAAACGAAATATCTAAGAATTTTTTCAATAATAAAAATGAATTTTTCCTTTTATTTGTAATTATTTTATTAGAAAATTATATTATTATGATTTAAAAAATTTTAAATCTCTTAAAAATTTTTGAATTAAAATTTATGATTATTTTCTGTAAATAAACAATTATAAAAAAACATTCAATTCCAAAAATAAAATATTATATAGATCGATAAAAAACTGAAAAATTTTAAGTGACTTTAAATTGTAATCATTAATTAAAATTTTTCACAATTATCATTAAATAATTATTGTCTGTGCTTTATAAAATCGCACAGCTTCATCTTGTAACGGGGTGGTTAACCCTGTTCAATTGGTCACCCCTTTCCTTATGAAAAGGGTGCCACTGGGATTATTTTCGCGGTGTCCCAGAAACCGGAAGAGCACGAGCAGGAGCAGGAGAAGTCGGGTCCGGAGAAGTTGAGATAGGCTGAAAATAAATACTGAGGACAATTTTCTCTCGTTAATCAATTTTATTGAACAATAAATAAATCTTAAAATATTACAAATAACCAACTGTTTCACAGTCCAAATCCAATTATAAATTTCCGAGAAACGCTTTCTCAACAGGCACTTGCCAAAAATCCTTATAAACTAAATATCCTTAAATTCTTATAAATCATAGATCATTACGCATCTATCTTCTTAACTACTAAATTCAAAGTCCTCGTCCAACTGACGGAATAACTATCAACCTAATTTTCCAATTAAAACTCCTTACTTATTCAATTTTTTTTCAAATCATTACAACTAAAATTCCGATTTTATCTTAACATGATTCTCAATCTTCAGTAAACTCTTTACATATCACTCGGTTTTACCAAATCAAATATCCCATAAAATCCTTACTAATTAACTTCATTTCAATTTATTATCTAATAAGCTCAATTAACAATCCTCTAAATCAATTTACATACTTGAATTTTGCCACCGGCCTAAATTTAATTTTACAAACTTACAACACTATCAGATCACGAAAATTACTTAATTAAATTTCCTGCTAAAATTCCCGATTAATAAATTCCACAGAACTTGATAATTTACTAAAATTCCTCATTTCTACTCGATAATCTTTATAAAAAATTACCAACTGAATTTTCTTAATACTTAATTAATTCCTAGATTAAATTCAATTTAATTAAATGAGCCACTAGCCTAAATATAGTTTTACCCAAAAACTTCCTAACATTAATTATTATACTCGCCATACAAATTCAGATCATCAACCTTCTGGAAAAATCTACACTACTTAATGCGTAGTACCTTTCTTATTAAATTTTCCTTCTTTCTGTTTTGAAAATTTAGTCAATAAATTTATTTATTATAGCCAAGAGGCCTATAATAAATTAATTATTAATTTAATTACAGGACATTTCTAGTTAATCTCTAAATCTTATTCCTTTCTTTATAATTTCTTTCTTTCTTTAATGACAAACTAGCTAAATGACCTTGACAAGAAAAGAAATCCCAAGTCCAAAACTCGCTAATATAAGATGGCCGCTCGATAGTTAAATTTTAATTAATTTAGCCCTTATTTAATTTAATAAATAATTTGGCCTGAAATAATTAAAAATACCTGGATACCCAATTATTGCTTTCCAACGATGTCTGATACTCCTGTCCTGCGGTAAAATTTGGTCCCAGCAGATAAAATGGCGAGGTCCGCTCCACTGCGTCCACTGACTTCCAAAACTCTCGAAACTCGTGTCGCCAATTTACTCCCAGCTCTCCGTCTTACGTTCAATAATTTCTCCTGGAAATTCCAGTAAATAAATAACTCAATTAACCAAGGCTCGCCAGCCAAAATGGCCTAGCAACAAGCAAATTTATAATAAAAAAAGTACAAGACAATAAAATGAATCGCTCCGTTCCACTCGTGAAGCCTTCAGAATACAACTACTTACTTTAATCTCCAATTTTCCCTCGCTGGACAACAGTTATCAACGTACTCGCCAAATGACACACGAAGAAAGATGCTCTCCACACAACACCCGGCGTTTTTTATAACCTCTCTGTGTTCTCGAACTTTCTTCTTGTTATCTTCCGCGCTAAATTTTCCGGGGTCAGCGGTGGGGACTCAGCGATACGTACGACCCGGTGACGAGTCGTACAACTACTTTGTCGCGCTCGGAAGGTAAAAAGCAGCTCCTACTCACCGGGACACGATAATCCAAACTGAGTACCGCGGGAATTCAAATTCCCTGTCACAATTTATATAATCCTGAGTACCTTGATAATAGATTAATTGATCGCGCTTACACCTGTCCTTGCGTTGAAAAGGATTGTCGATGTCTGTTGGGTCAACAATAAATCGTTAGATTAGAAGTTTTTTCGAGTTAAAAAAAAATCTATCCGAAATATTCTTGATCTAAAATTCAATTTTCATTTAAAAATTATGTATTTAATTAATAAAACAATTTACTTACTTCATCAATGTGTCCACATTGAATAATCGGTGTTTTGCCATTAATGCCCTTCAAAACAGCATCGGATATTTCTTGATAAGTGTAATTTTTTCCAGGAGTAATATTAGATTGTCGTAAAATTGCATCAATGTTGTATTTATCGAACAACTCAAGAGACTTTTTGTAGTACTTTAACTCTGTGTCAATTCCTTTGAAGTAAGTCGTACATTTTCCCTGTTCTGCCCAAATATTAGCAATGTTTTCTTCCGCACTACCGAATAATTCCAAATATTCTCTAATTTCACCCCGTTTTTCTAAAATATCATTCTGTAAAGACTTCAAAGAGGTCAAGTTAAATTCCTCTAAATGACGAGGGTCATCACCATATTCGAAGCATGTAAACTCTACATTATCTTTGAAGGCAAAAAAAATGACTTAATCGACCATGGATAATTTAATTTATTACATTTGTTTGTAAATTGGTTACACCAAGCTGGTTTGTATTTTTGCCTAAATATGTAATATCCATTATCATCCTCCCTGAAAATAATAATTATATTATATATTATATACTAAAAGAAAGAAAAATTGGGACGGAAACAATAAGCTTAAAAATTCAACAAGCTAAAAATTTCTAACAAAAAATTATAATAATTAGTACGTACCGGAGTGTCGGATATTTGTCTAAAGGATCTTCATAAATCGTTCGTCCGAAGGCTATGCGTGCATTTAAGCCTTCTGACAAATAAAGAATCGGAAAATCAGGTGAACACTTTCTAGGATAATAATATTTCAATGGATCAATCAATTTCAATGATTCGTCGAAAGATAATGTTATTTGGTCTAATGCCAATGTGTTGAGATGCTAAATTAGTAAGTATAAAAATTAAATTATTGAGATATTTTTCGTTTAACTTAAGAATGTATTTGTTTCGCTAAATAAATTTTATGCTTAGATTTATAATAGTTTCACGTAAAATATTATTAAAATTATGATTTTTTCGAGCGCTCAAACCAAAATTATCTTTTAATGTATTTTAGAAAATAAAAGAAGAAATTTTCGGTATTTATAACGATTGATTAAACTTACATGATTCCATAAACATTTAATGATAGGTTTTTTTCCGTGTGTAACCTTAGACACAGCATTTGAAATTTCTTGATAAGTGTAGTTATTTCCTGGCCTAATGTTACTTTGGCGTAAAATATCATTGATGTTATATTTCCTGTGCAGAATAAATGGCTGGTTTAAATATTTAGACGGACTATTGACTGCTTCAATTCCTGAGATGCAACTTTTAAATTCTTCATATCTATTTTTTAATACTTCATCAGAATGTGGCGGTATTTGCCAATCTTTATCATACCACTTAGTAGACTCTTCTCGATGAGAAGTTGGCAAACCTTGAGACACTAATTTCCCATTGGATTCCAAACATGTAGAATCGGTTGCGTTATTAAGTTGGGGCAGAAAATCAGAAATCACCCAAGGGTTATCTTGATATTGACATTTTAGATAATGATTAACATCCCGTTTGCAGTCCTCCGTAAGATATTGTACGCATAGTTCGAAATGAATGTCATTTTCACTAGAAATTATTTTAATTATTCACACGTGTGAATATTCTTTACGATTATTGATTAAATTCAATACTTACCATTCAATATTTTTCGCTAAAAATACGATTGTTAAAAATAAAAATAAACTGCTGATAGAGTTCATCGTAGTGAAAAAATTTGATAATTTTCCGATGCCAGTTTGTTGTAAACTAACGATCTAGAGAACCGTAGAGTTTATTTATATCAAGCGTGGTGATCGGCGATTAGGTAACTGTTAATTTTTTGATACTTAACATAATCCGGAATAACCCGCGATATGACATTGAATATCAATTAAGTTATCTTTTATTTTTGAGAGTTTGTAAACATATTTACTATCCAAATTATCATATTCATGTATTTTTATCCACTTAAATTATTAAACTACTAAAGTAGTGTTGATGACCTAGAATCAATAAGAAGCTATTTAAAAAAAAAATTTTGACGTACCTGCGTAAGGATATACACGAAAGTGAAAATTTTAATGGAAATCAGACCATTAACAAATATTCAATTCCTCAAAACAACTTTGACGTACAATATATGAATATTTTTTAATAAATTACCATAAATAGATGATCTGTAAAAAAATGTAAACATAAAATCTAAAAATACTTTGAATGACCCACTGATAGAAGGATTTTTTTGTATTTAAAAAGATTTGTTAATATTTAATAAATGATTTATTAAAGGATAGGTCCTTAACAAATATTTATTAACAGTTAATAAATCATTTATTAGCAGCTATTTTTTTGTGCTAACCAAATATTTATTACTATTTACCAACAAAAACATACATTTATTACACCACCAACAAAATATTTGTTAACTATTAACAAATCTTATTTGGTGGAAATAAATACTTTTTTCAATACACAAAAGCTTCTTAATAGTTACAAAAATTTTGTTCTCATAAAAAATTGATTTAGTTAATACTAACGAATATTGTTAATAGTAAAAAAATATTTTTTCCACCCAAAAAAATATCTGAAAAAGATTTTAATAAATTGATTTATTAAATACAAACAAATCCTTCTATCAGTGCAGAAATAAACTTTTTATTTAGATTTCTAATGTTTATTTGTAAATAAAATACTTTATAAATTGATGAAAAACTTAAATTATTAAAGTGACATTCTATTATAATTTTTAATTAAACATTTTTCCCAATTGTCAATAAGCAATTGGTCTGTGTGCTTCATAAAATCGCACGACTTCATCTATATAATCCTGAGTATCTTGATAATAGATTAATTGATCGTGCTTACAGCTGTCCTGGAGTTGAAAAGGATTGTCAATGTCCGTGTGGTCAACAGGATTAAGATTCTTATCCAAATAAAACTTAATTTCGTTTAAATTTCCTGGACTTTGATCATACTAAGAAATAAATCGTTAGATTAGAATTTTTTTTCGAGTTAAGAAAAAATAATCCGAAACATTCTTGATTTAAAATTCAATTTTCATTTAAAAATTATTAATTTAATTAATAAAACAATTAACTCACTTGATCAATGTGTCCGCATTCAATAATCGCTGTTTTTCCGTCAATTCTCGTCGAAACAGCATCGGATATTTCTTGATAAGTGTAATTTTTTCCAGGAGTAATATTAGATTGTCGTAAAATTGCATCAATGTTGTATTTATCGAACAATTCTAGAGATTTTTTGTAGTACTTTAACTCTGTGTCGATTCCTTTGAAGTAAGTCGTACATCTTCCCTGTTCCAGCCAAGTAATAGCAATGTTTTGTTCCACACTACCGAATAATACTGAATATTCTCTATTTTGACCCCATTTTTCTAAAATATCATTCTGGATATCCGACAAAGAGGTCATGTTAAATTCCTCTGAATGACGAGGGTCATCACCATATTCGAAGCATGTAAACTCTACATTATCTTTGAAGCCAAAAAAAAATGACTTAATCGACCACGGATAATTTAATTTATTACATTTGTTTGTAAGTTGGTTACACCAAGCTGGTTCGTATTTTTGCCTAAATATGTAATATCCATTATCATCCTCCCTGAAATTAATAATTATATTATACACTAAAAGAAAGAAAAAATTGGGACGGAAACAATAAGCTTAAAAATTCAACAAGCTAAAAATTTTTTAACAAAAAAATTATAATAATTTATTACGTACCGGAGTGTCGGATATTTTTCTAAAGGATCTTCGTAAATCACTCGTCCGAGGGCTAGGCGTGCATCTAAGCCTTCTGACAAATAAAGAATCGGAAAATCAGGTGAACACTTTCCAAGATAATAATATTGCAATGGATCAATCAATTTCAATGATTCGTCGAAAAATAATGTTATTTGGTCTAATGCCAATGTGTTGAGATGCTAAATTAGTAAGTATAAAAATTAAATTATTGAGATATTTTTCGTTTAACTTAAGAATGTATTTGTTTCGCTAAATAAATTTTATGCTTAGATTTATAATAGTTTCACGTAAAATATTATTAAAATTATGATTTTTTCGAGGGCTCAAACCAAAATTATCTTTTAATGTATTTTAGAAAATAAAAGAAGAAATTTTCGGTATTTATAACGATTGATTAAACTTACATGATTCCATAAACATTTAATGATAGGTTTCTTTCCGTGTGTGACCTTAGACACAGCATCTGAAATTTCTTGATAAGTGTAATTATTTCCCGGCGTAATGTTACCTTGGCGTAAAATATCACTGATGTTATATTTGCTGTGCAGAATAGACGGCTGGGTTAAATATTTAGACGGACTATTGACTGCTTCGATTCCTGATATGCAACTTTTAAATTCTTCATATCTATTTTTTAATACTTTATCAGAATCTGGCAGTATATGCCAATTTTTGTCATTCCACTCAGTAGACTCTACTCGATGAAAAATTGGCGAGACTTGAGACACTATATTCCAATCGGATTCCGAACATGTAGAATTGGTTGCGTTATTTAGTTGGGGCAAAAAATCAGAAATCACCCAAGGGATGTCTTGTTTCTTACATGTTGGATGCCAATGATCGACATCCCAATTACAGTCCTCCGAAAAATATTGTACGCTTAGTTCGAAATGAATGTCATTTTCACTGGAAATTATTTTAATTATTCACACGTGTTAATATTTTTTAAGATTATTAATTAAATTCAATAGTTACCATTCAATATTTTTCGCTAAAAATACGATTGTTAAAAATAAAAATAAACTGCTGATAGAGTTCATCGTAGTGAAAAAATTTGATAATTTCCCGATGCCAGTTTGTTGTAAACTGACGATCTAGAGAACCGTAGAGTTTATTTATATCAAGCTTAGTGTTCGGCGATTAGGTAACTGTTAATTCTTTGATACTTAGCATAATCCGGAATAACCCGCGATATAATGACATTGAATATCAATTAAGTTATCTTTTATTTTTGAGAGTTCGTAAACATACTTACTATCCTAATTATCATATTCATGTATTTTTATCAACTTAAATTATTAAACTACTAAAGTAGTGTTGATGACCTAGAATCAATAAGAAGCTATTTAAAAAAAAAATTTTGACATACTTGTGTAAGAATACACGAAAAAGAAAATTTTAATGAAAATCAGACCATTAACAAATATTCAATTCCTCTTAACAACTTTGCCGTACAATATTTGAATATTTTTTAATAACTTACCACAAATAGATGATCTGTAAAAAAATGTAAACATAAAATGTAAAAATTTTTTGAATAATAAAAATAAATTTTTTTTTATTTGTAAATAAAATATTTTATAAATTTGTGAAAAAATAAATGTTTTAAAATGACATTCAATTACAATCTCTAATTAAAAATTTTTCACAATTATAATTTACTAATTGGTCTGCGCGCTCGAGTTGAAAAAATTAACTCAAATGAACTAAACTGCTATACTAAAACAATTGATTTAAGCTCATGTAAGTTCATTTTTCCGACTCGGGCGATTCGAAATATCGCATGACTTCATCTACATATCCCTGAGAATCTGGATAATAAATTAATTGATCATGTTTACAGCTGTAGAAACTTTCAAAAGGATTGTCAATATCAGTTGGGTCAACAGGATTCAAATTATTATCCAAATAAAACCAAATGTTCACCAAAATTAGATCGTTCTGAAGTTTCTGAAAAATGAATCATTAGATTATAATTTTTGTAATCTAAAAGAAAAATTTATCCAAAATACTGTTTTAAAATAAAATTTTTATTTAATAATTAAAACAATTTACTCACTTTAGAGTACTGTCCACATTCAATAATCGGTGTTTTTCCATCAATTCTCTTGGAAACAGCATCGGATATTTCTTGATAAGTGTAATTTTTTCCCGGGGTAATATATTAGACTGTCGTAAAATTTCATCTGCGTTGTATTTATCTAACAATTCAAGAGACTTTTTGTAGTACTTTAACGCGGTGTCGATTCCTTTGAAGAAAGTTGAACATTTTCCCTCTAAAGTCCAATTATCAAAAATATCATCTACACTATAATACCCTGTTCCTTTCCATTTTTCTACAATCTCATTCCGGATAAGCGACCAATAGGTAAAAAAGTAAAAAATTAAAACCTACCCCGAAATTTCAAATATCTAATTGTGGAGTTTTTGGCCAACATATTATTCGTGAGAAGCTGTCTTCTGATCAGCGCTTGGCGTTGCGGCGCTTATCTATTGTAATCGATTCAAGTACAAAAATCTCTTCATTCAATAGGTGCATCGTAAACAATCAAGTGATAACAAGTAAAAATTATAAGCGTGAGAAAAAACGGATCAATTACGTTGTTTTGTTGAACAATGGTCTTATTTTTGAAATTAAAAATTTTATCGCTTTGGAAAAAAATTCTTGTAAATGTACCTACATGATAGGCTATTATTACGTATTAACAAATAAGCCATTTATTAAAGATAGGAAGCTTGAACATTTACTTACTATTGACGAAAAAATGACTTCGATTGCAGCCGTAAATACTGACTTAATAAACAAAAAAGTTATTATTCTAGGAATGCCAAAACTTGATCCGTACGTCGCATATGCACACAGTTGCGATTTAGAATTACTGACGTAAAAAGTAAATTTCACGACTTATTTTTTTATAACCATGAGAACATTTGTAACATAAAATCATGAGTGATTTGTAAACCTCCTTGTTAATTGCAGAATAAACTTTGATTTTATTTTGTAACATAATTATTGTTATTGAAAAGTTTTATTATAATTAGATAAGCGAATAGTTTAAGCTCTAAAATAAAGATGCCTGAGACTGGACATGTTTAACCTGTTCATCAGTGACAGCGCTTGATCTCTACTTCATTTCACATCACTCGTTACTGATAACCCATCCAGTGCCTGATATTGACTTTATTTTACATCACTCGTGACTGATAACGCGCCCAGTGCTTGATGACTATTTCATTTTACATCACGCGTGACTGATAACCCACCCAGTGGTTGATAGCTACTTCATTTTACATCACTCGTGACTGATAACGCGCCCAGTGCTTGATGGCTACTTAATTTTACATCACTCGCTACTGGTAACGTGCCCGGTGCCTGATATCTACTTTATTTGACATCAACTTTGCCTTATAACATAACTTTTATCCCAGATCTGTCCTTCTTCTGATCTTCTTCAACAAGTTATTATATGCTTATAATTTTATATATGGAGCCATATATTTTTCTGTATACAAACAAAATATATTTTTCATAGTATAGTGAACAAATATAAATTTTTTTATAATAAGCCATATATTTTTCAATATATATATGTTGGCTTATAAAATTAAATATATAGAATCATATAAAAAGAATCTTGTATAAAATTCTTATATATAAAATTATATCACTGGTATATTGGCGTTTATATTATCCAATACATTTACTATTACAATTAAAGTTATATACTTTTTATATATGATGAAACATATATGCTTACATATATAGATTTTGGCCGCATATATGATCCGCTATTTAAAATATATGTAAGGATATATTTTCGGCATATATGTTATTTTCATAAGCTCATCCCAATGTTAGATTCATCGAGACTTTCCATTCGAGTACCCACATCAATTTTTCATATATTTATATGTATTACATATATGTATATATGAAAAATATATCAATAATGCATATGGGTACTCAAATGAAAGCTCTTGATGAGCATAACATCAGTATGAGCTTATATCTTTAAAAATATCAGTAATCAAGAATATGACCTTGTATCTTGTGAACTATTGACATTTTTAAAGATATAAGTTCACCCCGTCATTACACTCATCAAGACCTTTCATTTGAGTACCTACATCAATTTTTCATATATTTTATATATTTATGTATATTATATATATGTATATATGAAAAATATATCAAAAATGCATGTGGGTATTCAAATGAAAGCTCTTGATGAGTGTAGCATCGGGATGAGCTTGTATCTTTAAAAAAGTCAATATTTAAAAAACTACAGTGCAATTTAACAAGAGTCATTAAAATTTGTAAGTTGTCTATTTAAAATTATTTTTTTCCCAATTAAAAAAAAATGAGTCTAAATTTCAAATAAGAAAAAAAAACTATTTTCTCTTACAATAATCCCAAATAAAGTGATCTACCTCCAAACAGATTCGATCAATGATTAACAAATCTATAATTAGAAACAATATCATCTAAATCGTTCCTCATAACCGACGTAATTTCCTACTATAGACCAACGTGAACTGCAAATACGCGTTTCTCCTTACGCTACTAATTTCTACGTCATAGTTAGAGTTAACAAACTTTTACACATAAAATTAATTTAAACCCGATGATGCAGTGTCTCAAAAATCTTCTCCAGCAGATATTTGCGTTCCACACCTACAACTCTGCGTCTAGATAATCGATTCGCAGAAGGGGGTTACCACCTATCGACGATTCAATAAACTACGTATAGTACTGTAGAGCCAGAGTAGAGCGTAAACCTGCATTTCGCCGTGTACTCCTGGTATACGAACGTGTTGTTTACGGGATTTGCGAGTCAATAGACGTGACAAATATCATTTTTTGTTTTTCAATTTTATTTATTAAATAACAACAATTATTAATGCACATACTAACACCTGATAAATACAATATTTTTTTAATAAATTCCTCTAGTATATAATTAATAAAATAACGCCTATTAAAATTGTCATTGTTATTTGAATAAATATGTACACTAGGTTTATTTATTATGTACACAAGAATTTATTTTTTATTACGGAGGATTAAGTTGGTAGATGGCATCACTAAATAATATTTTTTTTTTTAAATAATATTTATTATTTTTTTTATTATAAAAATTTTTTTTAATCAATAAGAAAATCGATTTTTTTTTCATAGTAATTTTTCAGCCGTACTAACTTGTATCCGGATCAAATGTTGTTTTAATAGTTTTAAGAACAAATTCATTTAATGTTTGTTAGTAACTAACATATTTATTATTACAGTTTTAAGAAAAAATTTTGTTTATGTTCGTTATTAATTAACACCTAAGTTTATCAAGATCGTGTTGTCAGCATGCTAAATCCTTTATTTGTCTTTTTTAATTAGTTTTTTTCTAATTATCCTAAATAATTAATAGTTAAATATATAAACAATAATGTGTTGTAAGGTTGAAATAATATAAAAGTCTTTTTAATAAACAACTTGATGTAGACATTTAGTACTTATTTGTCCCACCAGTCACAAATGCCTGTCCCACCAGTCACAATAAAAACAAATTTTTTTAATTTTTTCTACGTAGGTAATCAGTCTAATTCTTCATAATATTCAATGTAGGATTAATTTTTTATTTTCGAGGGAAGTATTTTTTAAAAGTTTAGTCGACCAACTGACAATTGGACTTTAAGTATATCTTTGGTAAGAGAGAAGGATTTGTTCTTAGTCCCGCCAGTTACACTCAGTCAAATGATAATTACGAGAAACTTAAAAAGTAATGGACGGTTTTTGACAAAGGGATCTTGTTAATTAATTATTCTTCTATATTATAACATAAATTTTACTGTAGTATAAATTTCAGTCACATAATTATATACAATTGATGGAATTCCAGAGTCAAATGCCCCACCAGTCGCTATGGAATGCCCCATATACAAAATAGAGAAAACGGAAAAAAAAAAAATTGATTTTTTTTTAATTTTCTCCAAAAATAGTGACATTAAAGTTAGCTGTCACTTGACCAATTTTTAATTTTATTCAACAATTAAATTAATTCTAAAAAATTATTAAAAAAAAATTGCATTTCTAATTTTTAAAAATTTCTACATGTCAATTTTTTTTTCTTATTTTTTTTGCCGTAATTTATTAATTTAACAACAGTTTTAAAAACTATCAAATATCTGCTTAATTAATTTTCTCCAAAAAAACCAATTTTATGGAAAAATACTAATAATACTAATTTATATTAACTCACCGCATATCGCGCAGGTCTCTGACTCCTAATTGGTGTGATATTGACAAAGTAAAGAAAACATATATTGAAACCACTTGGCACTTTATAGGTGCCTGGTACATGCAATTAAATATCGTTATTTGTTAACTCTCATTTCCCTTAAATACATTTTTTTTTGCACTTTTTAAATTGCGATATTAAAAGAGAAATTTTAGTGAGTCGTCGCGGTTTAAAAGACTTTTTTTTTTAACGAGGCAAAGGGTGAAATTACGCTTGATAATTAGATTCTTTTAATAGCCGAATTTGATGAGAAAGTTTGAACTCTTATCAGTTGTAGAAGTAAACATACAAAGTTTGATTACACAGCATTAGCTAGTTTAGACTTGACTAATTGGTAGATAACTGAATTACGGTTATCAAGAGTCATGATTAATTAATAATTAATTATAATCATATTCAAATTAGTCGTAATTGGTGAGTTTACGAAAAAATAACTTTTAGCCTGTCAAAACAATTGATATTTAATTTTTATCGCTTGTTTTTTTTTTTTTTTTTGATATTGTAGAAATTTATCGTAATTAACGTCATGTTTTATGATGCAATCACCACTAATTTTTACATAATAATATCGATAGACTTTTTTATCTTAGATAATTTGAAAATTTTTAATAAAAAAAATTATCAATTTTTGGGATTGAAAATTTTGGAAGAATTTTTAAAAATTGGAAATCAACTTGACAGTTTTTAATTTAACTAGTAATTTTTATTTTAATTTCAATTATTATAATAAAAATATCTTCCTTAATTTGTTAATTAAATAGATTAATATTTGAGAGTTAATTACAATGACATTTACAAAGATAAATAAATAAATAGATAAATTTTGAACAGACACTAATTTTGATCAAGACTTTTTAAAGACAAAATTTAACTTAAAAAAATTCTTTTTTTTTTTTATCAAAAAATATTTTTTACTCGTTTAAGTATGTAAATTATTTATTAGACAGAAAAAATAATTTTTCTAATTAAGTAAATTATTTTGAAAAATTTTAATATTAAAATTCACAGATATTTGCCAAATTTTGATTTTTGAATCAATAAAATATTTTTTTTTTAATTGCACTTATAATTTTTTTTAAATTTCTTATTAAAAATTTTTTTTCAATAAAAAAATTTCAAAAATTTTTATTTTGATTTGATTAAAAAAATTCTTAAATAAAAAAATTTAATAAAAATTAAAACTTAAATAATTTTCTATTTTAAAATTTCTACAGTCCAAATTTAAATTGACTATTTTTACGATGCATTATAATAAAAAATAAAAAATAAAGATTTTTAAATAAGTCGAAATTTACAATCTAATAAATAAAAAATTTTGCGTAAAAAAATATTGTGATAAAAATATTTAACACTTTTATGTGTAAAAATTTAACATAAAAATTTTTTAACGCATTAACACAAAATGTTTTTACTGTGTATACTTTATTAATCATAAAACCCAAAAATACATAAATAAAAAAAAAACATTTTTTTTCCATAAAAAATAAATCAATCAAATAATAATTACTTACCAAATATCAGAAAAATTAAATGATGACCATCAATAATAAAAATCAAAATGTGATCTCTTAGTCACCGATAAAAATTGCACTGCATAAAATCACCCCTTCTTAAATCCTAAAAAATTTATGTAACCAATCGATGAAAATTCTATATCCACAGATTTGGATCATCGATCTAAAGATAGTAAATGGCAAGGTATTTCCAGCTGAATCATTCAATAAACATCCCCTCTCTGTAACTATTTAAAAAAAATTGCAATAAGATCTTAAAAAAAATCTCCGACAATGATAATGATCATGATAACAAGCGCCTAATCATTAATGATCATCATCAAAGCGGTATTACAAAATATTAGCTAATCCGGTATAGAGTAATACACTCTTCTTACATATCTAGAGTGTTATCAACCTGACATTCTCAAGACAATACTCATAGCTACGCACGTCATCGTAACAATTAATAAAAATAAATTAATCTGTAATTATTATATCGAATCTTGAGGGATTTTAGGCAATAATGACTGATATATTTCATTCAAGTGGATAATATCATCGAGTGCGGCTTGATAAGATTGATAAAGCGTGACGTAGTACATCCCGTTGACAGAAGCAGTGTTCAAACATAAAACCGAATTTTTAGCGATCTTATAATGGGAAATAAATACGATTAAAATAGATAATTCTAATCTATATTAAATATCTCGAAAAAAAAGAAAAAAAAATAGTTTGGTATGACGTGGCCCATTTTATTAACGTTAAAACACGTCTATCTCCCTCCCCTGTACCGCAGCATTCATGACGAGACGTCGATGAACGTATACGTACGTATGATATTGTTTACTCTATCGCATATATAAATGAGGAAGCACAAGGGTGCGACAATCTCAGTATACGATCGCCGTTGAGTAGTACTTGTTAGGTTATTTAATTGTTATTGTAATTGTAAATATTAAAATGTCAACGGGAAAAGTGTTTATTTTATTTATATGCTTTGGGGGAATTTATGGAGTACCTCTACGTTTTAAAAGGCACTATCACTACTTACAATTACCCTTTTGGAATGTGCCCTGTGGCGAACCTGTGACTGATAATGTGATAACCGGTGTAAGTGAACAGGAGATTGAGGCTAGTTTGGAGAGAATTAAAAATCAACATCAAAATGCACTCTCGGATTACCTCCATCATGATTATGAGTATTTGTATGAAAATGTCAAAGTTGGGCCGAAGGAACATCAGTTTATTCCTAATTGGGTTCCGGGGAAAAAGGAGGTTAGGATTGTTAAGAGTCTGAATGATACGGATAGATCTTCTCAAATGGTAATTAATAAAATTTTGCATTATTAAATAATGAATTTTGTAAATTGTAATGTGCTTTTTTAAATAGTGAAGTTTTTTTAAGATACAAGCTCATCTTGATGTTATACGATTCAAGAGCTTTCATTTGAATACCCACGTGGATTTTTGATATATTTTTCATATATAGTATATATTTTAAAGATATAAGCTCATTTTGATGTTACACTCATCAAAAGGTTTCATTTGAGTACCCACATGCATTTTTTATATATTTTTCATATATACATATATGTAATATATATATAT